ATCTTATTAGTTCCTAGTGTGGTGAATGATTTTCAGTTAAAAGGTAGAGATCGTGTTACAAGGCTCTGGATCTTACTTCAGCATCCTCCTCTTTAGAGTGCAGCAGAGATAGATAGGAGACCCAACTCCCCACCCCCAGGCTCCAGGAGGCCTCCTGGCTGAGCAGGGCTGATGACAGCACTGACTCTCCATAAGCCTCCTCCGGCCCACCCTAATGGAGAGGGAGAGGGCCTGTGCCCGTGGAAGCCTGGACTCCCTGCATGGTCTCCGCTGCCTCCTGGGTTGGGGTCCTCGCCAGTCCATTGGGATGAAACCCAGGCTCCCTACTCTGCATTCTCTGATGTAACAAGGTAAGGGTGGAAGTCCAGTCCTCTCTAAGCCTTTTCTTCCTGTGTGTGGGTGGACATGGCTCTCGTTCTGTGCTGTTTGGCTGGAGGACAGGACAGGGTCTACCAAACAGGCAGCTCTTTTGATGGTTTCCTGGCTAAAAGAACAGGCTTTGTTCGGACTTCCTTTGTTCTTTTGATATTTCCAGGTTTCCAACATCTTTAGCTCAGATTTTTGGTTAATGGGGCAAAAAGACAGCCCAGGAAACTCGTCACTGTGCCGCCCTTGGGTCCTGATGTTCCCAGCCAGTCCCTCTTCAGAGTGTCCTTGTCTGTGTGTGTGTGTGTGTGTGTGTGTGTGTGTGTGTGTGTAACGTCTAGGATTCTTAGTGCGCCTAACAGGAGCAAAAGGAAAAGTGCATCTCACATCTCACAGGGGAGAATGTTCCTCTGAATTCACAGCACTTCATTACGTTTTTGCTCACCAGATTATGTGGCTTCTTCCCACATCAAGCAATTCTCTATTCCTCTGCAGAAACCAGAGTTTAGTTCTAACTGTTTACCTGGAGTGAACATGAGGTCCACAGGTAAAGGGCTCCATTCCATGAGATGCCCCACTTGCAATGACAGTCGCAGTTCCCCTTGTCACCTGTGCTTCGCCCTGACCCACCATATTCAGGAATTTCCACAATCCTCTCCTTGGGCTCAGTAATTGCTAAAGTGACTCACACAAACAAACAAAAAAATCAGTTTGGGACTGGGGTTGTGGCTCAGCTGTAGAGCACTTGCCCAGCACGTGCAAGGCCCTGGGTTCCATCCTCAGCACCACATAAAAATAAATAAATAAAATAAAGGTATTGTGTCCAACTACAACTAAAAAATAAATATTAAAAAGAAAGTTTATTTACTAGATTGCTGGTTTGTTATAAAAAGGATACAAATAAAAAGGATACAAATCAGGAACAACTAAATGGAAGAGAAACAGAGGGCAAACTATGTGGGAAGGGGTGCAGAGCGTCAGTGCCCTCTCAGATGCCACACCCACAGGCCTTCAAGTGTCTGCCTCGGGCCTCCAGGGGTCTTACGGAGTCTTGGCCTTGGTGACCACTCCACCTTCAGTCCCTCTCCCTTCACAGGAGGAGGGCTGAAGGTTCCAACCCTCTAAGCAAGAGGTTGGCTCCCCTGGCTCCAGCCCCCACACTGAGCTCTGCAGGAGTGCCCCCCATCCCCCGCCACCAAACAGGTCCTTGGCATGCAAAGGACTCTCCACCTCTGAGATCCTAAGGGACTTATGGAAGCCAGATTATGTTACATGCATCTACTCCACTTTCCTGGAAACCATCATTCTATTTTAAATTTGCATTTCCATAAAAACAAATGTTTCATACCTTTTAGATACTTTTTGAACATTTTATTTCTGTTAAATGCCTATTTGAATTTTTGACAATTTTTTTTTTTAAATTGAATTGTCTGGTTTTTTGTTTTGTTTAGTTGTTTTTTTCTTCATTTAATGATTTGTAATTTTTCATATAGTCTGGGCACATTCCTTATTATGTACTAGTAGTTTTCTCTCAGCAACTTCCCTTTTCAGTCCCTTTTGATGAATACAAGGTCATAATTTTAATGAATTCCAATTTTCCTATATAAACTATTTTCAGCAAATAAAAGTTTGACCTTTTTTTCTCTTCAATCTTTTTTCTTTTTTCTTTTCTTTTTTTTTTTTTGTTTATTTATACAAAAGCTGAGATGTTTCATACAAGGTTAAATGTGAATAATGATAGTTAAAATATTTACCTCTTCCTTCAAAGGGGAGTTGTTCAAAATTTCACTATTAAAATAACAATAACTATAGAATTATTATGGATACTCATCAAAATAAGGAAGGTCCTGGCCATGCATGGTGGTGCACACCTATAATCCTAGCTACTGGCAAAGCTGAAGCAGGAGAATCACAACTTCAAGGCCAGCCGCAGCAACTCAGCAAGCCCTTTTTCAGAATTTAAAAATGAAAAAGAGTGCTGGGGTGTAGCTCAGTGGTAGAGTGTCCCTGTGCTCGGTCCCCAGTACCAAAGTCAAAGAATGAATGAATATTTTCCTTCTACTCCTGTTTTGATGAATATGTCACATTTGTCACTTGAGACTTTATTTCAAAGAAGAGAAGGAGGGTCTAAGTTAGTTTATGTATGTAACCAGAAGCAGTATTTACCCTGGCATTTCCAAGTTCCTTCTTTCAACTCAGTTTTCTGGCTGCAGATTTGACAGCCCTTGCTTTCCCCTAATGTCGTTAATGCCTCTGATCCATTTCATGACGCTCTCCACATAATATTCCACCTTGCACCTTAGAACAGAGCTGGAATCCTGGACGCATCTGGCCTTTAACCAGTAGCAACTTAAGTTTTCAACTTCACTTAATATTCCCTGTCATCAAAATTTCTCTTTCACACATAGATTCTTTTGGGGTGGGAAGTACTGGGGATTGAACCCAAGAGCACCTAGCCCTTTTTACTTTTTATATTGAGACAAGGTCTCACTAATTTGCTTAGGGCCATCTAAGTTGCTGAGGCTGGCTTTGAACTTGGAATCCTCCTGCGGAGTCACTGGTATTACAGGTGTGCATCACTGCACCCAGCTCACATATAACTTCTTAAAAAAAAAATCAAAAGAAGGGATAGGGATATAGCTCAGTTGGTATACTGAGTGCTTGCCTTGCTTGTACAAGGCCCTGGGTTTGATCCCCAGCACCAAATTTTGCTTTTCTTTCTTTCTTTTTTTTTTTTAAATATACACAAAACCTCATTCCAAGATCTGACATGCCCAGGTATGACCATCTAGTTCTGTCGGTTGCCAGTCAAGTGACTCAGAGGACCTGAAGTTACTTTATTAAGCCTCATTTTCTAGGGCATAAAAATATAAAATAAAAATTTGATATCACAAAACTGTATCGAGGGTTAGGTAGGATGTTGGCAAATCACACTAATCTTTCCTGATATTCTGATTGTTTTACCTGGACAAACCAGCTATGATAGTTAGGGTAGGGAGCTACAAAAAGACACAGTCAACTCAGTAACATAGAACGAATTTTACACAAATAACAAATGATTTCACGTCCTGCGTATGTGTTTGCAGAGCACTCTCCCAGCCCTCAGAGGAAATGGGTGAAAAGTCACCCATGTGGGGAGTGAGGGTGTGGGTGCCAGGAAAGCCAGAACTGTTGTAATGGACATTTACTGCCTGTGTTCTGGGTCTCCACAGCGCCGGCCACACAGTGTGAGTTGAAGCAAGGAACAACCAAATGACAAGGTGACCCCACGACTCAGAGTTCTCCTGGGCCTGACAGGTAGAGACGTAGCCCAAAGGATCGGGCCCTGACAGCCAAAGATCCTTGGCTGTGTTTCCATGTTTCCTGCATGAACATTTTCCCGGCCTGCTCTGGTCCTTGTCTGAGGGAAGCTCTCTGGCCCTCTGTCCAGGAAACAGTGGTTCTCAAGAGTGTCTCTGTAGCTCTCAGGAATGGAGGAGAGTGTTTTCAAACAGCACCAGTTCCAAAAAACCAACCTTGCAGGTGAGATCACCAAGCAGTATGGGCACTGGGGTGTTGTGGGGGCTGCTTTGTTCTAATTGGACCCCTGGAAGGCAGGCGTCTGTCCCTAGTTAAGGTTGTCTCTTGAGAGCCATTCTGGGGCCTTCACAGGTGCTCTGTCCCTCCACACGCACCTGGACTCTGGCACTGAACTCAGTGAGAATTCCTCTAGGATCACACAGGTCCTAACCTGAATGACTTCTCTTTTGCTGCTTTCTCCCACCTGGAGTGGAACCATTTCTGAAAGTGCTGAGGTCGGAGCACAGCCACTGTCCCCAACCAAGACAGGTTTGGTGGGCATGGGGACTGCACTCAGGAGTGGGGCTGAGGGCCCTGGAGGAGCTGCATTTCTCCAAAAGCCTCAACAAACCTGTTATGGAGTTGTTTCAGCTCCCTCCTGGCCATTTTAGAAAACCTTCCTGTGTCCTGCAGTGCCCCTGGGACTTGTCATCGCTGCAACAGTTTTTGCTTGGAAACTATATAAGAAGGAGAAAGAGAAATGACAAAACTGGTCCCATAAGGTAAGTCACAGAACATCAGATTATTATGGACATTTGTCAAATGAGGAATCTGTTTTGCACAGGGGGTTGGATAGGATGTCATGTAAGAAGAATTGTTGTCCCTGGAACCTGTTATTTCAGAATTTTCAAAGCTGAAAGCATAAACACACAAACCAGGAGTTTGAAGAGGAAGGAGGGTTTTCATCAGAGCTGGAACCCAGCTCCTTAATTAAATCATAAGAACAAGTAATGTCCTCACAGGGCCACAGACCAGGAGGTGTGAGGCGGAGGGTGTGTTAACTGCGCCCTCCTGAACCCAGCTGGGCTGCGCCCTTGGCCTGCAGTGGGTGCTGGGCTGGCTGCGTTGCCTTCGCTCGCCCTCTAGATGGAGCTGTGGTCTTAGTAGCTGGAGGCGGATCCCAAACCACCAAGAACTTGGGTTACTTCTGCAGAAGCAAAAAACACTTCCTGCTCTTGACTGAGGATCACAGGTGGACCAGGCCTCCACACTGTGTCCCCCACACCCATTTTCCTCCTTACCTCTCAGGCCTCAGGAAGCATTTGAGGTACTTCTTATCTTACAGAGAAACTCATAAAAATTTGACTCTTTTTTTCCTTTCCTTGTTATAAAATACACAAAATATTCTCCCTCTAACCTGGCACTGACTCACACTTCTGCTTTTTCAGAATGGGAACTGGCTCGTTCACATGCAGGTAGGTGCATTCGTACCTCCGGGCTCTGAGATATAACCTCCAAGGAACTCAAAGACCTAGAATAGAAGAGGCTGATACACTTATGGTCACAAGCACTGGAAATTTTAAGTTGTGGGGAAATCCTGATATTTCCTTGGGACACAGAGGGCTTTTGGGCCCAGAGACAAGTCCCCTCTTGTGAAGGGCCACGTTAGGCATTGTATGCCCTGGACAGTCAGTTCCTGCATCACAGGAGACCCAAACTGCACAGCAGCCAGGCAACTCCCCCTGAGACTGCCAAGTTAGCCCACTGCTGTTTCTTTGGAGAAGGGAGGACAGGTCCTGTGACTGACTGCCACTGACGGTCACATTCTCTGTTTCCAGTTGATGTGACTCTGGATCCAGACACAGCCCACCCTCACCTTTTTCTGTATGAGGACACAAAATCTGTTCGACTGGAGGATTCACGCCAGAAGCCTGAAAACCCAGAGATTTGACTGGTGGCCGTGTGTGCTGGGCCGAGAGGCCTTCACCGAGGGGCAGCATTACTGGGAGGTGGAGGTGGGGGACAGGACTGACTGGCTGGTTGTGGTGTGTAGGGAGAATGTGAAGAAGAAGGGGTTCATCCTCATGTCTCCCATGGCTGGCTTCTGGGCCCTGGAATTATTTGGAAAGGGGTACTGGGCCCTCACTCCACTCCGGACCCTTCTCCAGTTGGCAAGAGCCCCTCACAGGGTTGGGATTTTCCTGAACTATGAGTCAGGAACTGTCTCCTACAATGTGAACGACAGGTCCCACATCCTCACCTTCTCCAAGGCCTCTTTCTCTGGCCCCGTTCGTCCTTTATTCTGCCTGTGGTCTTGTGATAAGAAGCCCCTGACTATGTACCCAGTGGTCAGGCCTCAGGAAGTCACCATTATTGCTGATGTCTAGGCCCTTTATGGAGATTCTGTTGTATGAGGAGCTGCCCTGAATGACCACGCCTTCCAGTCCTGAAGCACGAGGCTCTAACCAATCACTTCGTGGTGACTTGGACATTGTCCCAGCTGGGATAGCAAGGTAGGTCTCATGTGCAGGCATCACCCCCTGGGGTGAGCTAATCCTACCCCTAGCCTCATTTGAATGGCTTCTTGCCAATAAAAGGGTTCAGTGCACGCTCCTCTCTTTCTTTCCATGGACCTCTTAGTCAGAGGAGCCGTCACAGGATCTAAAGGGAAAGGTACTTCTCTGTCTCTATGTGGTTATTTTGTGCAGCCCAGCTCACCTGGAGTGACCCCGAGTGTTTAATCATGGGACAACACTATTGTCCCCTGTGGGGGAAGATTCTACCTCGTGGGTTAGAGATCATCTTTCCAGACAAGTAACAGCACAGTCCAGACCCAGGCCCTTCAGCAGCCACCTCTGATCAACCTGTGGTCATGGCTTTCCAACCCCTCTCCCCCAGATCTGTCCCCTTTCCTGAGGCTGAGCAGACACTGTCGCCACACCTCAGTTACTTCTCTTGGGCAGGGATCAGGTCTAAAACGATTGGGGTGCAGCTGGGCTGGCAGATGACAGTCTGTTAGGTCAGGTGGGTTTCAGGTAGAGAGTCTGAGGGCACACGGACTATTGAGCCGCCAGAGTGCGGCAGGAAACGTCCTGGTGTCCAGAATCGGGGTGGTGTGAAGGGACATGCTCTGCCTTGTGTGTATGAAAAAGAAAGGGAGGAGTAGAAGTTAAGGGAGGCAGATATGATCAAAGCATATTCTATTCATGTACAAAAATGCCACAGTGAAAGTGTTTTGTATAATTAAAGTGTATTAAAAATGATTCGTCTTAGAAAAGAAGAGGGGCAGAAAGATTGTGGGAAGAGAAGACCCCAAGCTGTAGCCACTGAGGTCTGCAGAGGGAAGAGAGAGGTCAGGTGGAGCCAGGCCAGTGTCAGGATCAGGCTTTGGGATTCTCAGGGTTTTGTCTCCGTATTTGACTGGGCAACAGAATCCAGCCCTTCTTCTGGGGCAGTGTAGCAGGTGAGGGGTGGGGAGGACCTCTGATGTGGCAGTGCAGAGAAACTGAGCAGCACTCAGAAGTGACCTGCATGGTGAATGTGGCCCTGATGCTCCTTCCCCCTCCTCCCTGGCCTGCCTGCAGGCCTGACCTTGCTGCCTGGGATTGGGAGGTCCTGTCTGCTCTCACCACGTGGTGAGCCTGCCGTCACCCCTGACCCTAGCTTCCAGTCCCCTGACCCACCACTGTCCACAGATGCACTTCCACGTTGGTCTCCCGGCCACCCTTCCCAGATGACCCCTGCTCTGTGATGGGACCCAGCTCCCACGCTGTCTGGTAGTCCTGGAGCTCTGTCAGCTTCCCTTTGACTCCTTTTCCCTGTCTCGGTGGGGAATGCTGTGGATGAAGAGGTCGTTGCGGGGCTGGGCTTGTGGCTCAGTTGCGCATGTTTGAGCCACTGGGTTCGATCCTCAGCACCACATACAAAATAAAGGCAGTGGTCCATCCACAACTACAAAAGAATTGAAAAGGTCGTTGAGTGCATCACTGGCCACGAGTGGAGCTCGACCACTTGCAGAGATGTGCACCAGTGCACCTAGCTCCTTTCCCCCCAGGCTTCCTCCTGGCTCAGTTTCACAGTCCAAAAGAAACCCCAGGGCAGGAAGCAAAGCCATAGCTTTGTACAGAGGTTGTGACTTCCCCGGCTGGCCGCGGCCCAGGCCTGTTCCCTGGTGTGCTGAGCTGGCTTGCATGGCCTGGCAGATGTTCTGCTTGGGATCTGGAGTGTATCCCAGGGGGCCGAGTCTTGATGGTTTAGTCCCCAGCTAGTGGCACTAGTGGGATGGAGCAGGTCACTGCGGGTGTGCGCTCCAGGGGGATGTTGGAACCCTGGCTCCTTCCTCTCTTTTTGCTTCTTGGTCACCATGAGGTTCTGCCCCACCCCAGCCCCAGGAACATCAGGGCCAAGCAAACTTGGACTGAAACTGAGTCAGACTCAGTCTTCCTGCTTTTTTTTTTTTTTTTTTTTAATATTTATTTTTAGTTTTAGGTGGACACAATATCTTTATTTCTGGAATATTATCAGCCAAAATTATGCCTAGTGGGAGTAGCCAAACAATATAAAACAAGACTGACTTTTTTCCCTCATGATTCATCAACCTGCCACTGCTTCATTCCTGTAACTCAGCAAACACACTTTATGTTATATTTCTGTCAAGCTATATTCACCTACTTTAAGGGAAAGCCCGCACTGACTGTAAAATGCCTTTTACTTATTAGCAGGCTAAGTGTGCCAAAGTTATTACTATTATTGGTGGTTTTATTAGTGTCCTAGGGAGAAGCCACTACGGGTTTTTGTCTGAGCTTACCTGTTTTTTCATAAGCCCTGGTGTTTTGGGGCATGATTTTATTGTTTACAGGAAGTCTACCTGCAGCTATCCTAGAAGAATTTTACTCAGGAAAGACAGCTGGACCTCAATGGTCTCAGAAGGTTTTGTGTTGTTTTAACATGTCTTTCCCACCACTGCCCACCACCACTGCACAGCCGTAGCCCTGAGGCCATCAGCCCACCATCGGTGATATCCCTCAAATCATCGGTGATAGCCCACCATCAGGGTGTTAAGGGATTGATGCACCTCCCTGGAGTGCCATCTGCCCTCTGAGTGGATCCATGGTATCAAGCAGCCACGTTCAGACTGTGCCCAAACCTGCGTTACTCCATCCTGTAAAGCAGGGAGTTTGCCACAAGCTACTCCATTTTTTTTAATTTTTTTTTTTTTAATTTACAGCGGAATGCATCACAATTCTTATTACACATGTAGAGCAGTTTTTCACATCTCTAGTTGTATACAAAGTATACTCACACCAATTCGTGTCTTCATACACATACTTTGGATAATGATGTCCATCTCATTCCACCATCATTTCTAACCCCATGTCCCCTCCCTTCCCCTCCCACCCCTCTGCCCTTTCTAGAGTTCATCTGTTCCTCCCATGATCCCCCTCCCTGCCCTGAGCTATTCCATTTTGAGCACAAGTGCTGATGTGGAATGACTCCACACCCTGTTTATACCAGTGAACAACCACCACCTGCCCAGCACTTCTATAAAGCACACACTGTCGAGTTAATTGTGCTGATAAGAATGACTGCCCATGAACTTGTTGAATTAATCAGAAGCAAAGGATACACGAGGATATCAAATTCGTTGGAAAATCCAGGCCCAAAAGCTTAGTGAGCACACTAGACCACCAAAAGAAGCAACCCCCTTGCTTGAGACCCATAAAATGAGGGACATCCCAAATTGGCCCTGTCACCTGGTCATGGTCACTCATCATGAGTCTTGACCAGAAAAATGGCCACATTGAAGAACCTCTGGACCTCTGTCCTCGGGCTTCAGCAGAGGGTGGCTTTGCCCATGATGACCACACAAGTCCTACTCCAAGTGCTGTCTTGGAACTTGGCCTGGAGTAGATTTCTGGGCTCTGACAGCTCTGCGCCCTGAGCAAGCTCTGGCAGGTTTGTGATCTCACCTGACCACCTACAGGGCTCCTTCACATCTGCCTCTGCCTTTGCTCTCTGCAGCCTCCTGGACCCAGCTGCCTCAGCCCTTTCCTAGCTCTTCTGGATCCTGGAAGTCTAATTGTATGAAGTGTGGTGTGACTTGAGTGTTACAGGTACTAGGAACTGAGATCGGAATAAAAGACCAGTGATTGCCTAGCTTATGACGACCAAGTGACCACAGTACCCAGTGAACTGCACTGAGGAATGTGGGGTCACCTGGGCCTTTATTGGTGTTCTGTGAATTCTGACATTGTGCAAAGTCATGTTAATGACAGGGTTCACCCACCGCAACCTTTAAAATCCCTTTGCTGGGCTGGGGATGTGGCTCAAGCGGTGGCACGCTCACCTGGCATGCGTGCGGCCCGGGTTCGATCCTCAGCACCACATATAAGCAAAGATGTTGTGTACGCCGAAAACTAAAAAATAAATATTAAAAAAAAATCCCTTTGCTGAGCTGGGTGTAGCTCAGTGATAGGGTGCTTGCTCTAGCACACCTAAGGCCCTGGGTCCCCAGCACTGCCAAAAAACCCTAACCCTAATGGTCACTGGGCCTGCCTTGTGGTTCTTTGTGCAGGTCAGGGAGATATGTGCTTCCCTCTACCCCTCTAGGTTATTTGGCTGGGTTATGAATTAAAATGTCAAGGCAGATTAACAGTGGAAAAACCATATATGTATATACACTAGGGAGTCCCACAAAATAAACGATTGGAGGAAGGGCCAGGTGATGGAAGCTGACACTGCACCCCACACTACAGAAAGGGGGGGACGGTGGACCCTGGACGGTCGAGGAGGAGACGGCTTGCCTCATTCTGCAGATGGGGTCTCAGGTGCGAGATTTGTCTCAGAGCAGCTCCTCCTGGCCCAGATACCTTCACCAGGGAGAATTTCCCCTGTAATGTAAACTTTACAAAAGGGGCATTTTGGTCTTTGGACAGTTGATGGGGAAGGGAAGATCCTGTCTTGTGTTGGATGGTTCTCAGTTTCTTTAACTCAAAGTAGGGCCAGCATGGTGCATTTTGAAATAGGGTGTTCTGTCCTCCTGTGGTGGTTTTGGGGGGGTGTATCCTGAGCCCCAACACCTGGAAGACCTGACAGCACTCAGCGCCCCCACATCAACAGCCTGTTCTGTGGGAACACTTGAACATCACAGCTGCGTGAGGTGATGCCGACCCGCCGGGCAGAAGAGCCGAGGGAAGGGTGGGGTTCTAGGAACCATGTACAGCGTAAGTGGTGCCCAGCTCTGGAAAGGCCCGAGGAGGCCCTGCGCCCTCACTGGCTGATCCTGAGGTTCTGCCTGGCCTGATCCTCTGCAGGATGGGGACCTAGCCCACCGCCAGGACCAGCTCCTGAGGCTCAGCCCCATAGAGCTGTCACGGCCTCTCAGCCAACAGAGCACAAGCCCCCACCCGCCCCACCCCCGTGAGCTCTTCCCTCTCCACGTGAAAGGCCTCTCCCAGCTGCTTCCAGGACACCTGCCCAGGGCCCAGCCCACCACCCCTCCCGGAGCTCTTGCTTTAGTGGTGCAGTGGTGTGTGTGTCCACAGGGCAGTGTCCAGTCTCAGGGAAGCCATTGCTGCCACAGGACTCCGCCAAGGAGGCAAGTACGAG